GTCCAGTTTTGGAGGAAGTGAAACATGACAGTTTCCTTATCAACAAACTGTCTATCAACAAAAGATCAAGAGACCTGGATAAAGGAAGCGCGTCCTCTGACTGTTTTTGTGGGACTCTAGAAAACAGTCAGACTCATTCAAGACTCCACTGCTAATGAAGGAAAGAGTTTTAAAATAGAATACTGGGGCTGGGCACAGTGGCCCATGTCTGTAATCTCAGCACTTTGGAAGACTGAGGTGGGAGGATTACTTGGCCCAGGAGTTGGAGACTAGCTTAGGCAACATAACAAGACCATATCTCTCCAAATAATCAAAAAATTATTCAGGGCTGGGCTCAACCTGTAATCTCAACATTTTGGGAGGCCAAGGCGAGAGGATTGCCTGAGCCTGGGGGTTCGAGACTAGCCTGGGCAACTGGGTGAGACCTTGTCTACAATAAATCACAAAAACTAGCTGGGCACGGTGGTGTTCATCTGTAGTTCCAGCTACTTGGAAGGCTGAGGCAGAAGGATTGCTTGAGCCCAGCAGATCAAGGTTATGGTGGCTGTGTGCATGCCACTGCACTCCAGTGTGGCTGACAGAGTGAGACTCCAACTCAAAAAAAAAAAAAATTATTCAGATGTAATGGCACGCACCTGTAGTTCCAGCTACTTGAGAGACTGTGGTAGAGCCCAGGAGGTCAAGGCTGCGGTGAGCTGTGATTGTGCCACTGCACTCCAGCCTGGGTGATAGAGACCCCAGCTCAAAAAACAAAATAGGGGGACACACCTCATCAACAAGGTTACATGCATAATGAGCATTTGTATACCTAACCCTGAATTGTTTCTTATTTTTGTTTTTTTTGAGTTGGAGTCTCACTTGGTCGCCCAGACTGGAGTGCAGTGGCTGCTCCCAGCCACCGCAGGCTCGCCTGCTGGGCTCCAGCGATCCTTCTGCCTCAGCCTTCCAAGTAGCCGGAATTACAGGCGTGCGCTACCATGCCCGGCTGATTTTTTGATTTATTGTAGAGATGAGGTCTCACCAAGTTGCCCAGGAGGGTCTCGAACCCGCCGGCTCAGGCAATTAACTCACCTCAGCCTCCCAAGGCGTGCGATTACAGGCTGAGCCACAGAACCCGGCTCTAACCCTGAATTGTATCCCATATCTTTAAAATTAAAAAATAGCCAGGCGCGGTGGCTCATGTCCATAATTCTAGCACTTTGGGAGGCCAAGGTAAGAGGAATGCCTGAGTCCACAGGTTCGAGACCAACCGAGCAACATGGCAAGACCTCATCTCTCCAATAAATCAAAAAAATTAGCTGGACATGGTGGCACGTGCCACAGTTCTAGCGACTTGGAAGGCTGATGTGGAAGGACCACCTGAACCCAGCAGGTCGAGGCTGCGGTGGCCGTGAGTGTGCCACTGCACTCCAGCCTGGGAGAGAGTGAGACTCGAATTCAAAAAATAAAAAAAATAAGAAAATAGAATCTGTAGGCAAGGGTCTGGAGATCTGCTCTCATTCCCAACCATGCCCACTGAGATAGATCCCTCTGTCCTCTGTCCCTGGCTTTTATTACTTGTGAATCAGGCAGGGTGCCTATCAGTGTTTCTGAGGTGCAGGAACTAGAGAAGTGATGTGACACAGAGAAAAAAATATGGGCCCTGGAGTCTGGAAGTCCAGTGTCATCGCTGTGTCTTTAGCCAATTTAATTTATTTCCCTTACTCTCATCTATAACCCAGTGACAATAGTCCTCACTCCCTGGAGGGTGAAATGAGTGTGTGTGTGGTGTATGCGTCTGTGTAAAGCACCTAACACAACACCTGGCAAACGCTTCTCAAGCAGCAGAGCCAACCCTGCCCTGAAACCCTATTAGGAGGTCAGAGTGAAAGCCTGGCACAGAGGCAGGACATCCCTTCAAGAAAACTGTCAGTGCTAGCAAGGTGCAGTGGCTCACGCCTATAAGCCCAGCGCTTTGGGAGGCAGAGGCGAGAGGGTTACCTGAGCTCAGAGGTTGGAGACCAGCCTGAGCAACATGGCAAGACCTCATCTCTACAATAAATGAAAAAATCAGCCGGGCATGGTGGCATATGCCTATGGTTCCAGCTACTTGGAAGGCTGAGGCGGAAGGGTCACCTGAGCCCAGCAGGTCGAGGCTGTGGTGGCTGTGAGTGTGTCACTGCACTCCAGCTTGGGCAACAGAGTGAGAATCTGACTCAAAAATAAGAAAACTGTCAGTGCCAGAACAACTGGCTTACTGCCTGTGTCTTGCACCAGACAAACCTCAGTGCTCCCTGGGAGTTGGGTTTTGAGGTTAGTTGTTAGCAGTAACTACTTTTCTTTTCCTTTAATACCTCCATGCTACAGGAAGCTCGTAGCTAGAACCCAGAGAAGGAAAGGAGGCCCTGGGAAGAGAGGATGAAGGAAAGCAAGATTTGTGCGTGTGCGTGTGTGTGTGCGTGTGTGTGTGTGTGTGTACGTGAGTTGGAGTCTCACTCTGTCGCCCAAGCTGGAGCACAGTGGCACGCTCATGGCCACCACAGCCTCAATCTTCTGGGCTCAGGTGATGCTTCCACCTGTCTTCTAAGTGGCTGGAATTATAGGCAAGCACCACCACACCCAGCTAACTTTTTTTTTTTTGAGTTGGAATCTCACTCTGTCACCCAGACTGGAGTGCAGTGGCCGC